TTTATTGTCTCCTTCTGTGTGGATTCATACTTTAAAAAACATCTGAGATAATACGTATCTCACCCTTTTTTTGGGGGGAGGGGGGCTTTTCTTTTCAATCATAATTTATTTGACCTCACCACAAGAAAACTCATCCAAATGGAAAACCAAAAGCTTTGTGCTCTGAACTCTTTGATGGAAAAGGTCTTTGGTCATTCTCAGCTTGGAGCCGGCGGCCTGCGAGACGATATGCAAAGGAGGTGCTTTGCATATTTGCCCTGTTGAATTTTCCCATTATCGACCTGAATGTTATGCATCTAATATGGAAATAAACATCCCTTTACACACTCAAGGGGGTCGGCTCTTCCCACTGTTCGGTTTATTGGTCCAATACCGCATCGTAAAATAGGATTTTAATTTCAAACGTCGACTGCACCCCATCAAGAAAAAACGGCTAACGCAAAGCTCTGTTTCCATTACATTAATTTACTTGGACCAGTGAAACAACATCTGGCAAAACAAAGTTACTTATCCCACATTACTGGTGGATGAAGAAAAGAGGAATGGTGCCAATTGGACATTATGTCACTCGTGTTCTCTGATTGATCGAAGCAGTTTATGGTAAATCTCTTCTTCCCGCCCAACGCATGTCACTCATCCTGACGGGTTTGAGATGCCATCTTGCCCGCGTGTGATCAGCGTCTGTACGTCGACCGGCGCAGCAGCAGAAACAGGAGGAGCAGATGGGGGAGAACGATGCCGCGTGCAGGACGGGGTTAATTGGGTCTCGTGTCTGTGGCATATTTACGTGCGTCCTGTAACTACAACCTCCCTGAGCCCCGGGAACCTCACAGAAAATACCAGTCCTATAATAAAGCCTTATGATAAAGCTGCACATTATTGATGTGAATAATTTGCATTTTCAAAGATTTAATTTTGAGATGATTTATGCTTCAGTGAATGTACAGTGTGTGTCTGTTACACACATAAACACACACGCACACCTGCTCTCATGCCGTGGGGCTTACCATGAAAACTAATATGCGCACAGAAGCACTGAATACCGATGGCTTCTCTAAATGGCCACTGCTGACTTGTCACTGCGGGACACAATGAACAGATGGAGATTGCAGCCTTTTATAATACACGTAATGTACAAAGAAATCCCCTCTCTCCATCTGCAATCCCCCCAATAAAGTTTTTATTTTATTTACTTCCTGACCAATAAATGCGGAGACATCCCCCGAGTTACAATAAAACCGATATATGACCCAATCTGAACTGCTCTCGTGCCTGCGAGCTCCAGAAGGGAGTCGACCCCTCCGGCCCCCGGACTACAATTATGACTCCGGCGCTTTGACTCCGGATCTCAACGCTGACGGGGTCTCCAGCTATTAACTGGACTAAAAAAATAACTCAGAGATTAAAAGCCTCCTTTAAACTGGCAATGGAGCCATAATGACCCCTGCTGGGGGGGAGGGGGGAGGATGAGGTGATTGAAGAAAGACAAACTATAGTGAGGAAGACAACCGGTTTGTATCAAAGGAAGCGGGGGGATGGAAGAGTTCCACTCAGCTACAACCATCCACCATGTAATCATTTGTATGTTCTAACTGAATCATTTATTTAAAAATGTAGATATTCATGCATTATTATGTATTAATTCTGCGACCAGCAGGATTGGCGAAATTCCGCATGAATGTGTCAAATCTTTCGAAAATGCAATGAATCAGTATTCCATCCATGTGTGTGGTCTTATCTTGGTTACAGGGTTGCCACCCCATTTCATAACCTTCAGCCATAGAAACTGCTTTGATGTGTTGCACCACATGTTGAGGTGATATTGGAGTGATTTAGGAGATCGGGTTTAATGAATTCATGACATTCATGCACCCACTTGACCTATAACTCCAGTGAGGAGCTTCCTGTGGCTTTTTTAATGAAATCCGCCAGGTTTCATTGGCGTTTTTTTCTCTGCACTTTGTGACACTGGAAGCTGATCAATTCTAATCTGGGTTTAAACAAACTTTTAACACACATCAATTTGTTTAAAGTGTAAACTAACCATTTGGACCTCTTCCTAGAGGTGAATATAAAAGTATTGTCATACAATAAATAACTATGTATTATTAGGAAATTCTGTGGGCGAGTCTGTGTTTTACTTAAAACCTAATTGATTTTCCCCAGAAATATGAATGCATTCCAGAAACTGAAAGCACTTTTATTTGTTGAGTCATGTTTGTATTTGCAAAGCAAGGATTTGGGGGAGAATAGTAATCCTACGTTGTGTATCCTCTAGTTGCCTGTACTGTAAGTATATGGATGTAACTGAGGGCTGCGTTCTGAGCTGCGTGCTGTGGGAAGTTGTAAATTGCCTGTAAGCGTGTGGATGTGAGTGTCAATGCTTGTTGGTCTCTGTGTAGCGCTGCGATTAGTTTCTGTTGTTTTGCTAAATAATGAACATTTAAATTGAGCTCTAATTGACACACCTCATATTTACAAAAGCTTGTTGATCTAAAACCCTCAAACTCAACAACAGCAGGTTTAGTTAGGACCTTATTATAAAATTACTATTAATATTATTATTATGTAAACCTTTAAAGTGTCATTTGAATTGTTAAAAGCGATGATCACCTTCCACCAACAATGAAAGGCTCCCTCAATATTTAGGACGTTAGTCCTTGTTAATGATCAAGAGAAATGATCAGCACTTTCCCTTTGATGTAACATCAGAAATCGTTGTTCTTTTCTTTTAGCAATTACAAACCAAACTGAAATGGGTGTGTGGGGAAAACTGGAGGACACGGTGAAAACCAACAGCCAAATTATTGTTTTGCCAATGTAAACAAACTGTGTCTGGTGAGTGGGAGGGAAACCGGAGGACCCGAAGAAAACCCACGCAGAATTGTGTCTAACCCCCTAACCTGACCCCTGACCCTAACCCCTACCCCTGACCCTAACTCCTGACCCCTCACCTGACCCTAACTCCTGACCCCCTAACCCCTAACCCTGACCCCTAACTCCTGACCCCTAACCCCTAACCCTGACCCTAAACTCCCTGAACCTGACCCTAACCCCTAACCATGACCCTAACTCCTGACCCCTAACCTGACCCTAACTCCTGACCCCTAACCCCTAACCCTGACCCTAACTCCTGACCCTGACCCTAACCCCTAACCCTGACCCTAACTCCTGACCCCCTAAACCCTAACCCCAACCCCAACCCCTGACCCCTGACCCTAAGCCACAATTCTGCCCTGCGAGAGGTGAACCAACCCTAACACACCTGTGAAACAAACACAAAGTTACAAACCACAACGCGTGAAACCTGACGAGATGAAGATGACGATGAAGGCCATGGCGAGGACTCACCCTGCGACTCTTGGGCAAAGTTTGCCATGTTATCTGCTGCCGGGCGTCACACAGCGGGATGCTGAGGTGTGCGTACTGCGTCATTGTAACTATTGTATTTGTATTTAGACAACATGCTAAACATACTATGAAGAACTAAGTGTTTCCCTCTTTGATTCTACACTATTTTTGATTTGTTTTTTTTATTTCCTTAAATTGCATTTCTTCATAAGCTGGGCATGTGCTCATGAACAAGACGCAGCTCACGAAGAGTCATATGTTCACGCGGGAGTGACACATCGTGCACGTTAACACACTCCCAGCCAGCTTCTACCTCGAGCGTTCTCCTCTGGGTCTTGGTGGTATTTCAGAAATGTCTCAAACTCCAGAAAGACTCATTATATTTGTGCACAATGACTCCATTGTAAAGATTGTGTGAAGATAGTATTCTTAATAAAAGTGATATTGGTCCCTTGAGAGACAAAGGTACTGTGAAGTAACTAAATAAGTAAGTTTTCATGAGCACTGCTACATTCTTTATGAAGCAACTTTTATTAAATTAACTAATGCGGTTAATATTTCATTTCACACTAGAGGTGCAAGAGTGCAATGTGTTGCAAGGTTCATTTTGAAATTTGAAATCAAAGGAGAACCATGTGGCTGTGTGTGTGTGTGTGTGTGTGTGTGTGTGTGTGTGTGCGTGTCTGTGTGTGTGATAAAGTTGTTAAATTATAATATAAAGATGATCTTGTGATGAAACTAGAATTAGTGGATCTGTATGTTTTGACTGGTCATTGTCAGATAGGGTTGGATTGAGATTGAGTTAATAGATTTCCTTTGCATTACTGCAATGACTAATTATTCATATAACTATAGTTGTTTCTTGACCCTTTAAGCCGAAACACTATCTGCTAATAGATCACGCTATCAGATAGATAGGATTAACCTACATAGCGTTTCATATGAGCTCAACAGAAATTCGTTCCCTGCGTCTGATCCATGCGGGCACCTTATCTCCTGACGGGAGGAATCTCTGAATGGATTGAATTAGTTTGGGCTGCGGTACCGCCGCGGTGCTGGATGGATCCATCGCGATGGCTCACTTTGGTTAACGAGATGAAAAGCGGAGTCCTGCTGTGCACGCATCCTTTCAATGCGCTTTTCTCCTTATCAGTGTCCTTTATCCCCTGAATACGCGGCGCGTCAGTGCCGGTGCGGGTGTGTTTGGAAACATCACACATACACACGCATGCTGACACACACGCGCACACACACACACACACACACACACACACACACACACACACACACACACACGCACCACCTCGCTGCCTTGTGTTGAGGGTTCTCCGTCCCCCACGGCGTTAAAAGGCGCCGTGGGTGATAAAAGCTCCGGCGCACTTCGCGCTCCACTGGCGGCCGCGCAAGAGAAGGAGCGCTCCTCTCCGGACCCGGGACGCGCTGCAGAGGGGCGGATCTACGCACTGTCGTTTTCTGTCTGCAGCCTCACTTGACCTCCAAGAAGCCGCGTTTGGACTTAACACCCCCCCCCCCCCGTGCATGAATCCCTCCTTTTATTAAAAACTTCCCCGTGCGCCCACGGGTCAACCCAAGAACCGTCTGTGCGCCTTCCCCTCTCCAGAAGGGTTAACGCAATCCACGGGACCCACACACCGGAAGCTTCCGTCCTGCGGTGGAAACTTCGGGCTCGTGGAAACTTCGCGGGTCGGCCCGGCATGATCGTTTGCAACGTGAGCCTGAGCTGTGTGCACTGTCCCGGGGGAGGAGCCGGCGGCACCGCGGCGACCGCGACGGGCGCGTACGAGGAGGTGTCCGACTCTCTCCCCGCTCCGTCCCTGAGCCCGAAGGGGCACCTGGTGGTGGCGGTGTGCCTCGGCTTCATCGGCACCTTCGGCTTCCTCAGTAACTTCCTGGTGCTCGCGCTGTTCTGCCGGTACCGGGCTCTGCGCACGCCCATGAACCTCCTGCTGGTGAGCATCTCTGCCAGCGACCTGCTGGTCAGCATGGTGGGCACCCCGTTCAGCTTCGCGGCCAGCACGCAGGGCCGGTGGCTGATCGGACGGGCCGGCTGCGTTTGGTACGGGTTCGTTAACGCGTGTTTGGGTAAGCAGCTGTTTTCGTTCACTTTGGCATGAAGGGACAACCCGGCGGCACTTATTGACGATCAAAATGTCTTTTTTGAGTATTGCTATTGATAAAGTGGTGACCTTCTGATCCCCCAAATGTCTCTCTTTCTCAGTTCGGCCTTTCTGCACAAAATGCGCTTTAATTCAGAACCATCAGATGTCCGGGATTGGTTTGACTTAATGACCCCCCCCCCCTCGTAATTTATTGAAAAATGTTACTGTAGAGCATCTGCTGTAACATAACATCTATGAAGACGTATGAAGAAAATCAAATGCCTGCAGCAAATAGTCGTATTATGAGCAGTGAGATTAGAATCCTTTTAACCAATTTCACTCTGAGGATTATTTCAATTAGAATCCTATTAAAGTGGGATGGTAATGCATGGTTCTCCATTTATCATGATCAGCTGGCCAACATAACATCCTGCAGACATAAATAATACAATATGGTATTGTCACAATTCATACTTTGTCCCAGAGCCGTTTTTTTACATTTTTATAGAAAGATAATATATAGTCAGCAGAGACGAACAAAAGAACATGGAAAAAGCATTTCTGTTAGTATTACATATTAATTCTCTTCTTGTTCCGCTCTTATTTTCATACAGGTCTTTTTCTGTTTGATTTAAAAATGTGCGCACGCAGGACTGTTGACAGCAGCTCTGCTGGGAATCAAATACGTGACCTCCCAGTTTCAGGACAGTCGCCCTAATTGGCGGCATGTTTTGAACTCTTTCCTACTGGAGCGAAGACAACCAGCAGAGAGATCCTCACTGAATGGAAGCTTTTATATATTTATATATATATATATATATATATATATATATATATATATATATATATATATGCTCGCTTCAGTGAACAATCAATCTGTTAACCAAACCAAAAGTACGCGCCTCCCTTCTCCTTCTCTCACCTCTTGCTCCTCTTCAGCGGCTGCTCTTACTGCTCTCCTGGTATTCTGGCTCATGAATCCCCTCTTTTCTCTTCGGGGTATTGGAGGTGTTGCTGGTCTAAAGTCAGTCGCGTCCTCTCTGGAGTCGCTGGCTTTGCACTGAGGTTAAGTGTTTTGGCTTTTAAATCGTTTTCTCAGCGGAGTTTGGATATGAAGGAAGGTGTTATTGCTCTTAAAAACCCTTGTTTCCTCTGCAGAGTCTGGACTAGGTGTTGTTCATCTTAAATCAGTTTTTTCTCCTCTTCAGAGTCCGGGCTTGAATATGTTGCAGGAGCGTCGTGTTGTTGGAGGTCTTTTGGGAGTCCAGATTTTTATCACGGAGTTGTTGCTCTTAAATAAGATCTCCATGTCTGGACTTGGTGTACGCTTCCTTTCCTCAGACCCTTTCTGTCCAGGACTCTGTCTTCTGTCTCCTTCCCATTAAATTAAATGGTTCAGACTCAATTCCTTAATAACTCTGCTGTACAATTACTAACAGGGTCAAAAGCTTCTTAATATAGTCCTGATTCCTCAGGCACATCCTAACAAACCGACATCCAGTTCATCCCGAAGACGCAGTCGTCAGGGACTTTTTGGAAAACGGCGAGCAATTTGAATAAATAAAACTCCTATTAAAGCAAGTCAGGAGAAGAGCGAAAAGGTATCCATGGAGATGAACAAGTGCTCTCCAGTTCTGACGAAAATGATGTTAATCCAAGTGAACCATTGCTGTCTCTTCTCCTTAGCCTCACACACACACACACAACAGTTACTAACAGTCCATAAGATCAACCAGAAATAACCGATCACACAAAAGCGTACATGAGACTCATCATCGACTTGCTGCTAATAAAATAAAAGTGAGTGAGATGCTCATATGTGTTATTCTGGACTCTGACGGGTCCCCTCATATCAATTATGTATGTGAGTAGTTCGGGTCAGAATTGATCACATTGCAGAAAAAAACTGACGAATTGCAGCCCATTAAAAAAAATGCCCCAAATAACCCATGAATAGTTCATTCATTCTGCACTCCAGACCCCAAATGCTCCTGAAGGCTGCGCCATCTGTGCGTGAGTGTGTGCGAATGAGCATTTAGATGAACTCCAGAGGGGCAGTTGGCCCCTGCGCGGCATTCAGGGGGGTAAATGCGTCGGGCGTGTTCTGTGAAGCTGGACCGTCGTGGTGGAGACGGGCGAGAAGCTCCTGGTCTTACTCGACCGTCCACCGTTGGATCACGAGCTGTGGCCGGTGGCTGTGAGAATGAGACGCCAGCAGACAAGTTGGGGCTTTCTTTTGGGGGGGGGGGGGGGTAGATGAGCTCACGACACTCAAAGGAGATAACGGATGGAGGCATTGAAGGACGAAATATAACCGGCTGGAACAACACAACCTCTTGTGATTTGTTATAACACCACATTTTCCTCAGGACCTTCCCCCGACCCCACAGAACCGAAACGGAACCCCTCGGGTTGGCAGGACGGGTGCGAACGGGACTTCTCGTTTCACACCGCGATGGAATGGAATTTGTTGTTCCTCTAACGAGACCCAATCTGACAACACTGGCGCTACTGTGCTGAGGAAGCTGGATATCAACCCCCTTCAGCCGTCCTCTTCATGAGACTACAGATGATGTGTCTCCTGGTCCCTCTGGGGCGTCGGGTTGCATCACCGCAGACGGCTCAGCTCCTCGGTTGGTGCTCTGAAACGATACGAGCGATTCTGTTTCCGGCACAAGCGTTCAAGAAAGAAACAAGGAGGGAGACAGAGGGGGGACGAGGGCAATGTTCGGAGACAGAGAGAGAGAGAGAGAGAGGGACAATAAAAGTGGGAGTCAATGAAAGACGATTAGCTCCCGTGCTGACTCAGGCGCTGTGGAGGTGGGAGGAGGAGAAGAATCGGGCCTCAGGGGGGGAAACCTGTTAAACAGTTTGGAGGGTAATCGCAGTGCGCCGCGTTCCAGATCAAAGCGGCAGCAGAGACGTCATGACCTTTGGCATCTATTCATCCACTATTTCGTCATTTCCACGCAGATTCTGTTCTCTCGTGTGTCTGACGAGCTCGCGGACGCTCGATGAAGTCTTATCATGAGATGATTTGGCTTCCCCATCGCACCGCCTGTGCTCTCTCTACGGCAGCGGACAACACAGGGGAGCAATTATCTTCTGAAGAGACACGATAAATCCCCCACTGGAAACTGACCATAAGAGAACAGAGCGAATAGTAATGAGGTGACCAGAAATGGAAGAATGTACGCTAATGTTGCTCTGTATCTGTATCCGAAAGCTCCTGAATATGTACTAATCAAGGAAACCCTTTAATACGGCCCGAGGGGTGATGTTCTAAAGAAATTAGTAATCAACCATCCTTCCTATAGATGTATTCATTAGAACAATTTGAAATGTGCAATGATCCAACATTCAACCTATAAGGATGTTAATAGTACCTCTCTTTTCAAATGTGCATAAAATGCCTTAATTTATCTCGAAATGACATTTAATGTTGGATTTGGTTTGTTAGTGGCTTGTGCTTGACAAACAAAATGCTTTTAGGCATCTTCGCATTATTGGGACTATAATTTTAGTCCCGACAAGGCTGGCAAGCCCCACAACGTAACCGTGGAAACAGATGTATTCCTCTATAAGACCGGTGGAAAACGCAACACACACACACCGAAAATCAATCCGGCTTTTTCCTTGAGCCCACGCATAGAAGTGTAGTAATTATCAGTAATCACGGAGACTCGTCGTGTCGGAGGTGAAGAGTCCACTGAGCAGCACTTTAGCCGATATGTGCTGATTAGCTTTGGTTTGAGAGTTGGTCCGTTCAGCCACAGTGTCCTCCAGCACATTAAATGATCAATCAATTCATTATATATGTATATTAATATATTAAGTAATGCACTGGTAGCTAAAGGCTGCCGGAGCTCCCAGACAGATCAATGTTTACGATCACATCGGTTTTCAGTGTGAACTTATTATGTAACAATGTTGCGAGAGTGACTCACCTTTTAATTAATGCATTTAGAAATGAAACAAATGTTGACCAAATTATCAACGATATTCACATCGTTTGACATGTTTTAGGAAATGTTCCAGCGAGAATGCCAATGGTTTTAGTTTTAGCTTACTTGACAGTAAATCGATCTATTTGGGGATTTCATGTGACTGGGCTGACAAGTTGTTTGCACCCTCGGCTGTGTCACACGAGGTAATGAGCAGCATAAGTCAACCTAGAACTGAACTGAAAGGATCATCTCTGTTAAATATGAGTATATCATCGTGCAAACCTAGTGACTGCTCCCCCCCCCCCCCCTCAGGCATCGTGTCCCTGATCTCCCTGGCCGTCCTCTCCTTCGAGCGCTACAGCACCATGGTGAAGCCCACCGTAGCCGACGGCAGAGACTTCCGCCCGGCGCTGGGGGGCATCGCCTTCTCCTGGCTCTACTCCGTGGCCTGGACTGTGCCGCCGCTGCTGGGCTGGAGCGAGTACGGGCCCGAGGGCCCCGGCACCACCTGCTCCGTGGACTGGAAGACCCAGACGGCCAACAACATCTCCTACATCGTCTGCCTGTTCGTCTTCTGCCTGGTGCTGCCCTTCTGCGTCATCCTCTACTCCTACAGCAGGCTGCTGCAGGCCATCAGACAGGTGAGTCCTCCAGCAGGTCCACGGCGGCGGCAGTAAAGGGGGGGGGGGGGGGGGGGGGCATTTAGGGGAGACGTCCATTCCGAGAGGACACACTTGATTAGAAGTAACCGATGCTTCAGTTCAGGGTTGAGAAGCTAAACGGTAAACGTGCACCTGAATTAGGGGCGCTTGCTTTCTCCACCATCCCCATGACGGGGGTCATTTATCTCATGTGGCCGGTCCGGTGTTACTAAGATTAAGGCTTGCCTCATTGTTTTGGCTGTGCGTCATATGTGTTCCCTTAACTTGCCAAACGTGTTTGCTCCCTGCAATCAACCCTTGGGTGTGTGTGCGTCTCTTTGGAGCCCCGGGTGTTTGTGTGTTGATGCTGTTTGCACAGAAAATGGTAATTTGCCACTCCATTTGCTGGTTCGTGTGCCCATGTGGGGCTCAGCGTCGCCTGCAGACACACGCAACGCTTTCTGTTCCTGCTGTTTGGACCTCGGTCTCGTTTTTAGTGTGTTTTTGTAATAAAAAAAAAATTCCAGAATAGTGTGAAATGGTTCCTTCAAGGCGGAAGGATCGGTTTTACCTTTTTCCATCCAATTAATTTAAAACTCCTGTAATGGATACATTGCATTGTATTACCTTACATTACATGTCATTTAGCTTTTATCCAAAAGTGACTTACAATAAGTGCTCACTAAATAGTGCATTTCTTGTAGTATTGGATAAAATCTTCATTACATAACAATCATTCTAGTGGCGCCAACGCTAATAAAGTCCATCACAACCCCACAGTATTGATTGCAAATTGATTGATCGCCTTTTGAAGAGAGCTCCATGGTCCCCGGGGGAGATGAACCCTAAAGACTTCACTGGTCCCCTCACTTTTCCTCCGGCGCCACCACGACATGACAAAAGAATGGCATAAAATAAAAATCATGTTCAAATCACCTCGAGGGGAAACTGTAGAGAAACGTTAATGTGACTCAAAGCAAAAAGACGACGAGAAGCAGTCAGGCAGCAGGTCCAACCAGCACTGCCGACGTGTGTCCAGGAGGATAAGCAGCGCTGCCTGCAGGAGACGCTTCGTCTCCGTGCACACAACGACTTCCCAGGCGCGATCATACCTGTCGGCTGAAGTTAATTTCAGCAGTGTTCACTCACCGGGGATGAGATGTTCTTTGCCAGACCAGTCGAAATCTGACCTTTATCCGTGAGAAGACGGCGAGGAGACATTTTCCTCATTTGCCGCAGCGGCAGATGAACGTACATCTGCTTGGAAGTCGTCGTCAAACACCTTAAGACGGAGGGATCCCAAGGAAGAAAGAGGCAGGGACTTGTCCGACTCGGCTGATTGAGCTCATGATGCCGAGGTAAACAGAGCCAGACGTATCGAGGGGTTCAGGTGGCAGGTGTGTTAATGCAGCAAAAGAACAACTAAAAGCAAAATAAGTGAAAAGTCCCCTGAGCGCGATGAAGCGTTTCATCATCTTTCACTGTATTTTCATGCTTTCGGCTTCACTCTGAGCGCTCTCGTCAGTGTTGTTTTCAGCATGAGGCTGTTTTTTTAACACAAAACAGACACCTGCCTGCACCTGAACAGACGGAGCCAAGTCACCTGGCAGACGGCCGTCTCATCACGAGTCCACGACAAACACAGAGATTTAAAGGGCAGATTCGGGGCAGCCGGCGATCCGCTGCGGGTCATTAAACGTACGTCCTGATTACAGATCAACGTGCTGCCGGACTGAAAGAAGAAGCCGCGCGGGTGGCTTCTAAATCATTTTGATATTTGTACGAAGTTGTGTGAAGATCGTTGGCAAGATAACAATAAAAAAACTACTTCACGCGGAGGAAGAAGGAACGCAAGGTCGGGAGCGGGTCGGCCTGCATGTGGTTGGCATGCGTGTGCGATTGTGTGCCCTGTTGTCTCTCTGCAGCTTACCTGGGGGGAAGATAATCCCCTGCAGGCACAGCGTGCACGAGTTCTGCAGAAAGCAGTGGAATCTGTGTGGAGTATGTTGGAACCCGAAAGCGCGAGAGGAAGAAACGTTCAGCTCGTTTCTTCTCGCTTCGAGCTTCATTCGCTTTTATTTGGCGTTCATTACCATTGTATTGTCACTTCAATACGCACTTTTTTGCATTAATGTTCATTATGATGCAGTTGTGCCTCCATTTGCATATTTATTTGTCTGAATTACATGACTTGTTTACTTTCTTCACATCATGGATGTTTTCTAATAGCTGACATTTGCTAAAATGATTACATCAGTGCTTGTTTCCCCTGCTCCATAATAACGTCTAATAGAAACATTGGACCTTGGACATTGAAGTTGTGACCTTTTGGGAGGTAGAAATGCCCAAATGTTTAATTCGACACAGTTTGTTAAAGAAGTCACCAACTAATATGACATTTGATCAGCTGTAGCTCGCTGGCTGATGTCAACTCACGCTGGGTTTCGCTCGTGTTTTGGCTTTAAAAAAGATGTTTCAAATATTGGGTAGGAATGTTTCTTCAACAGTAAAGCTAAGTTTAGAGCTTCGACACTCAAACATTCTGCTTCATTGGGAGGATTCAGGTTTGATGAGATTTCACAACTTATAAGGTGGAAACTCAAAGCTTTCATCATATCGTCCTTCAAATATTGATAAATCCTGTGGGCTCCACTCAAATAAATCTATAGTCTATGAAACAAGAAGTGAGCACGGAGAAACAAACTGAGAGAAAATGTGGCGATCTGGTATAAAACCTTCCCTGATATCACGCTCAGTGAGAGAGAAGCGTTTTCCTTTGTTCATCCAAATCTTTGACACCTCAGTAGAAAACTCATTTACTTTCACCAGATGTCATAGGAGCTGTTCCTATAAGGACACGTTGAATAAACGACAGAAACGAATTCTTCATGGAGAGGCGTTATGACAGTATGTTAAATCAGTATACCAAAATAAATAATACAATCCTACCTGTTATTGTCACATTAGATTAAGAATTTGTATTTCAAGGGCTAAAATATAAGAACCAGCCACATGACTTCATGAAATTGAGAAACGTTTCTAACAATAGAGCTTCTAAGGAAAGATTTTAAGTTGGCGAGAACGAGTGATGTAAAAACACGCGTGATGTTGTTTTCATGCGTTAACGCACAACTTACATTACATCTTGTGTGCAGAATTATCTGCGGCTGTTTGAGAAGTCTAAATGAATAACTCAGATCAAACAGCATGACCCCAAACTCATTTATCCTCCAGATTTTAATTTATTAATATCATCATATTGCCCAATTAAATGAATATTTCCCTTTCGTAATTCAACATTCATGGTGGCAGAGGAGGATGTGACGGTTTATACTTCAGCTCCTGGAATTAAAAACCCTCACAGATTCGGTTCGTTTGTTGTTCACTCAAAGGATTCCTCGCTCTGATCGGACGCTCGTAGGCGACTCGGCTCTCCGTCAGGTGTTTGCTTCTAACAAGCCGTTCGTCGCTGGCAGAAGTAGGATTCGCCAACTTATCCGTCACGTGGATTCTTTCTGGCGCAAATGGTTTTTACAGCAAATGAGAACTTCTCCTCGGACCGTTTAATAATCCTGGTTTTGCGGGCTCGTCTCGTTAGAGAGAACAAGACAGCCAAAGGAAAACCGCGGCTTGAAGGTGTTGACCTGAATGCACCACCTAGCGAGTGCGGCCTCTCCATCCTGCACGATTGAAGACACCACGGGAGGGGAGGCTTCATCCATGAGTCTTCATCGCATGAGTCTTCATCGCATGGCTGAGATTCAGTGAGCAATTGCAGCTTCGGAGACGTGTTGCATTATCGGTCCTGAAACCAGCAGAAGTTGCACCGTGCGCGTGTGGCGGTTATTGCCCCAAAGGGCGAGAAGGCAATTGGCCTTCCTTGCTTCATCCTCCTGTACGTCTGGCTTCCATCGGCTGCACCGGGAGCCGTCTGCAGCACCATCATCGACACTCAGACACCTCCACGAAGACAAGAGTGGAGCCCCCCAGATTCTGTGAAACATGTAACACGTGAAGAAGAAGTCCGAATAAAATGGCCAATAAAAGGTCTCGTGCCGTAGAAACTACTGCTCGCTCTGGTTCCATCCCGCAGGTCAGCGTGGTGAGCTCGGTGGTGACGCGGCACCGGGAGCAGCGCGTGCTGGCGATGGTGGTGGTGATGGTGGCGTGCTACCTGGTCTGCTGGCTGCCCTACGGAGTGGCCGCCCTGCTCGCCACCTTCGGCCCCCGTGACCTCCTGAGCCCGGAGGCCAGCATCACGCCGTCGCTGCTGGCCAAGTTCTCCACCGTCGTCAACCCCTTCATCTACATATTCATGAACAAACAGGCGAGTGGTCTGCTGGTTTCCGCTTTTCATTCACACTGAGTCTGTTTGCGTGCAGGGACTCACACTCCAGCTGTGCACACATGATGCAAACACACTGAAAGGAAGACCCACAAACACCCGGAGGAAAGAAATGACTAAAACGCTAAAAAGAAATATGAAAGAGGAGGAGGATCTGTTTGATGCCGCCAGCCGCCCTGATGGACGGCAGAGCAAACTTTAGGGCGCGTTGGTGACGGTGTCACTTCCACCTCTGTGGTACCACATCGTGTAACTACTGATGTGTCTAAAATAAAAAAAAAAGATGAAGGGCAGAAAAAAAAGGAAAAGCAGGGATTAATGTAAAGTAAAAGAAAAAGACGGGATGGAAGGAGGAGGAAGGAGGATAAATCAGCAAGGAAAGGAAGAGAATGTAGAAATAAGTAGAACAGAAAATAATGTAAATTTTAACAAAAGGAGAGAACATGAGAAGACAGGAGAAAAGAAAGTAAAGAAGTTTGAAAGTAAAAACACAGCGACACTAAGGAGAAGGAAAATGGAAAAGAGGGAAGAAAAAAGTGTGATTATAGAATCAATAATTGAATAAAGAAGAAGGGAAGAAGGTCCTTTTAAACCTCGAAAAGGCAACCCAGCTTTGATTCTGATTAGTGTGCGACGTTACGATCGGGGGAACCACACACTGACCTTTTCCTTTTCCTCACACTCTCCCTTTTATCTCGTGCCCGTCACTCTTTATCTGCCTCCACCTCAGACGTCCCGTCTGTCTCTTTGTCACTTTTGAGCCGGGGAGACATTTAAAGCTCTGTGATGATGATGATGAAGGAGTCCTTCTGCATCTGGATATGTGCGTGCGTATGTGAGTGTCTCGGGGTTTGTTTTGTGTGAGTGTGATGTCTAAACTGCAGATGTTGAGACTTACATGAACCACACTTTAGCCACACTGTGGGGAGCATTACTCCTTCGGTTCCTCCCAGCCCATGACTATGGCAGCAGTGTGTTGAGGCGAGTTGAAGACTTCAAGCGCTGCGCAGATTCATGCCCCGCCCCTCAGCCGTCACCCAGCCCCTCACATCTGCACCCCGCCCCTCGGCCGGCACCCCGCCCCTCACACCTTCACCCCGCCCCTCACACCTGCACCCCGTCCCTCAGCCGGCACCCCGCCCCTCACACCTTCACCCCGCCCCTCACACCTGCACCCCGTCCCTCAGCCGGCACCCCGCCCCTCACACCTTCACCCCGCCCTTCAGCCGGCACCCCGCCCCTCAGACCTTCACCCCGCCCCTCAGCCGTCACCCCGCCCCTCACACCTTCACCCCGCCCCTCACACCTGCACCACCAGCAAGCAGATTTATTCTATTTCTATTAACTTTCTAGTAACTTACTGAAACGCATGGTGACATTTCAAAGCGACATATTGTACTTAACTACATTTATCTGACAGCGAGTTACTTCACATAGCGACGTTAAAAAAAAAAAGTGGTCAATTAATAAAAAATATAATGCATGCTATAAATTAAACTACATCCAACAATATACAACGCTTTTTTTTAAATGTGCACATTAAAATACCGCTTAAGTGTTAAAACACTGGTGTTAATATTAAAATAATACAATTTAAATAGTAATCATATCTCAATAAACATTCTCCCCAATAAGAGCAGCTTAATACCTTGTTATGAGTATTTTTATACTTTATTTTAAAGGGGAATTTAAAGCTCACGAGCCAATCAACACATCTCATTCTGTTCTGTCAAACCATCACACATTTATCCCATTTATGTCAGCAAGTGCCATTTCCAGCTCACCTCCCCTCTTCACACATCTACAATTGTCTCCCTGATGCTCCACAGCTCTCCTGCTGCTCTTCAGATTAATACATTGGGATTTGGGACACGGGGAGGTTTTAAAAAACGAGAGCTGATGTCGAACGCTGCATCATTTCCTCGGGGCAACACAAACGAATCGGTTCGCGCGCGATGGATCGACAGCCCACTGCTGAAGCCGCTCAACGGCAGCGGCACAAACCGCCCTCATTTGCCACATCGACCTCTGAGTGGAAACACGCCGCGAGGGAGGAGGGGCTCCGATGACGTCACCAGAGGTCACCCCCCGCTTTGACCCGCGGCGCCCTGGAGAAATGTAGTAGACTTAAAGTATACGTGTGGAGCCAGAGAGTATACTAAGTACACTACGTTTATCCAGGGGAGCTCGCCGTCTGCCGCACGCGGAGCGCCGAGGACAACCGAAGAGGACGACGCGGCACGACCCCGACAAACACTGGCCCCTTTAATGCTCTCGCTGCCCCCGGGCCGCCGTTGGGTAATGCCTCATTTGCATATTTAAAAAAGCTATTTTTAAAAAAAGGAATCAACTGGGAAAGTTTCCTGATGTATTTTAAATGTTTTGTGTGTCTGGGAACTATATTTTTTATCTGTTGGTGGATTTAACATTCGTGTCAACGTGTGGCGTCTCTGCTGGCGTTTATTGATCCAATGATCCAATCCAGCTGCTATCGACTCTCAAAGCTGCCAGTAATCCCGTTGTGTGTGTGTGTGTGTGTGTGTGTGTGTACGTGTGTGTGTTTGTGCGTAGTTCTACAGGTGTTTCCGGGCCTTTCTAAGCTGCTCTACGCCCGAGCGAGGCTCCACCTTAAAGACCTTTTCACGGCCGACCAAGACGCTGCGCGCCGGCCGCCACGAGAAGGGACGCCGCGTGTCGGCCGCCGCCCCCTCCACCGCCCAGCCCACGCGCAACTCCGCCCCGAGGTCTTCGCAGGGAGCCAATCACGCGTCTGCGACCCCGCCGCCGTCTCCGGCGGACGGACGCTGCGCTGCCGCCGGCGCCGCCAAACCCAAACGCACCCTAGTGGCTCACTACAGGGAGTGAAAACAGCAACAACAACAACAACAATGACGACGACAACAACGTGGAGCGGCGGGTTTGCAGGAAGCAAAGTGACGAGCGCATCTTCAATCAACAAACAAATCCTCTTAATTGCAGAGAAGTCGGGGGCCTCCGCAGGGGAGGGGCCTCAGGCACAAGCTGGGACGCTTTAATCCGAGAACATCCCAGCTCGCCATTGGTGTGTGTGTAGTCGGCAGACTGGGAAACGCACAACACGCCAGTCACACCCAGTTTACCAGAAGGCCTGTGCAGGAAACACAGGAACGAGGAAACACACACAAACGTCCCACAGAAACGGGTCGAGCTTTGGTGAAAATGTAGTGATGAAGTGTCTTTGTTACCCGTCTAAATAAAGTTCTTTCTTAAACTCAGAAACTATCCGGGAGGAGCATTTGGAGAAGCACAGCGTTCTTTTTTTCGGGGGGGTGAGGGTTGTTTGAGGGGGGAAACGGGGGCAATGAGATATTTTGTCAGCTCCAGCGTGGAGCGACTGTTAGCGGGATTATTTCTGCAATAATTGGGTGAAGAAACAGGATAAGCGTTTCCTTCCTGACCCCATTTCCACGCCTGACATCTGAGGATTTGATACAGAGTATCACACATTTGTGAACAATTTTATTTAATTTAGAACCCAAAAGGTTTTTAATATGCTTTATTTACACTTTGGCTCTCGTGTGAAAGCCACGAAAAGGGACATGACCCAACGGCACGAGGGACACGTATGACATTTCATTGTTTTGCATTATCTTGATGTTTAAGTATCCGCTGCCTTCTTGTTAAGTAGAAAGGGCCTTTCTTGTGTTGTCCCCCGGTGTATTTTCATTCGCTCATGTTGCATTAATTAAATCTTGTCACAAACAGATTCGACTGTGTCCATTATTTCCTTTTTTTTTGTTTCGTAACGGCTCTCCGTCTCCTTTTATCTGTTGCTCTTTTTCCTCCAGATGTTGACCAACCCATGAATTATTAACACGGCCCTTACTGACAGGTAGGGAAGCGGATTAATGCTGTGAACTGCCTCGGTGAAAAACAAGCTGCATTTGGAGCGTCAGCAGTAGAACATTACGACTGGCTGCCATGAAGACACATAAAGAGCAACGGGCCGCAAACACACACACACAGGCAAAAAGTAAATAACACATGCCGCTCCCAGTAAACCCGGGTGAGTATTGATGTTTTATCTACTCATGGGCTTTAAAGAGGTTTCACCAGAGGTTGAGACGAACACGGCGAATGAACCCAAAGATGAGCGTTCAGCTGGCGTGTGTTCCGTCCGTGTGCTAGAAATGTGGGAAGGTCAACCGACCCTTTCATGGCGTTTTCTTTTTCGCCATGAATGGGATCTTTCTGGGAAAAGGTTACTCTTTTCGTGTGTACGTGCACACGTGAGTGCGTGCTTGAGTGTGTCTGTCAGGGCTGCAATTAAAAACACTGAAGAGGGAACCGTGTACTGATCATCGGTTCCAGAGATTCAAACTAGCAGCAGTAACCTTTATGTCATGTTGCGTAATGCGTTATAATGATGGGACGTCGGGACGCATTTCTCACATTTTAGTCCAATCTGCAAGGAGGAGGCCGAGCTAAAACTATGCAAAACTGTGCATTTTAAATGATTAACCATGAAGAGCACATGGCTTTTTCACTCTGATTGGTTAATAACAAGAATATGTTTAAATCAGTAAAAAAAAACGAAGGAAAGTCCTGTCTTTTGGCTTCTTGGAGAGACAGCCGGCCGTAGCTCAGTGTCCACAGAGTTCCTCTGCATTTGTGTTCTAACTGGTGAATTTTCCGGTCTTAAGCAGAGGCAACTCTCGTTTTTGCATAAAATGATTCGTCACCCCTCCTTGGATCCAGATGATGAAGTCACACATGATGGGTTTGGGGCCGGATAATCATCAACACTGTAATCGGTCTTTTTGTGTTACAAGCTAGAACGTTAGCGCCTCCATGGAGGAAATCTTCACCAATTCAATCTTAATATTATCAGTTTATGATCATTAATGCATGCGGTTGTCGCCTTAAGGCAAAACTGCAACTAATTGTGCCGTAATTATTCCGTCACTGTGACATCAGGGCACAAAGAAATATGATCAAATAACCCTTTTTATGATATGTCACTTTAGTTCATTCATTTCACACCAAGGACCATTAACGGGACTTCAGATATTGAACTAATGTAGATCAACGAGCAGGACGGGCGGGAAACCTCTTGGCTCGACCCAAACAGTGCGTTTCGGGGAGGTTTCGTGATGTAATATTCATGTGTGTTACGTGTTGATTGTGCTCGGCTATGTTGTGTGTGTGTGTGTGTGTGTGTGTGTGTGTGTGTGTGTTGGACGAGTGCTGCTGAGGCCTCGAGGCAAGTTTATTCTCTCGTCCCGATGTCACTGGAGCTTCATAACAGAAAGAATCCAAACTCAAACAAGAGTATTATTCTCTTTTATTTTAATTCATTTAGAATTTGCCTAATATTTGAAAAACATTCCAGAGCTTATTTCTTATTGAAACATTTGTGAAGTAATTCAAATGAAAAGTAAAAGTATGAAAACTTGCTCACAGCTGAAGCTTGTAAAATAACAGAATTAAAGGGAGTTGAAGCAACAAAAACCACCACTAAATGACTTAAGCGAGTGTACAATTGTTTTTAATCAATATCTGATCTAATGCATCTTTATTCTGTAGATCACGTTTTAAATTAAGCTCACTGAACCTGTCAGTGTGTTACAGTTCTAGTTGTGTGTGCCTCTATGACAAATGTCATGACAAAAAGTAACGCATCATGAACTAGAAAATGTGTGACGCATTCTGACCAGATTGCTACTAATGAACAATCATCGTCTCACATCAAATCTCCTTTTTTAAGGAAGCGAAATGAAGATGCTCGTCTAGAGACGGCGGTCGCACAACGCTCCAGTCCACTGCTCGCCGCAGAATGGCATAATTCCAATAAATAGTTTATGTTGCCAGAGAATTGATTCCTCAACCCTGAGCACATTAGCTGCTGATGGGGAAGTTGGATTATGGATGCTGGAAATCTTGCGAGTAATTGATTTGAGGCTATATTTGGTATTATCATCATTGTAAAAACAAATCCAACTGAGTGTAGCGGGAGTGATGAGAGAGAAAGATTTTAAGCAGAAATGCGTATTTAAGCTTTAATTATTCACTCCAGCTTTAATTATTCAGGGGGATCTCCTCTGCAAAAGAGACCTGATTAATTCCCCACTGCGAAAGCCGTCTTCACTCATGAATTCAATGTAATATTTCACACGTGGTGGCGGCAACATGCCAGATATTATGGAAAAATGTTCCCGTTCTAAGGACAAACCACACGCGTTCAAAGAAACTCGCTTAGTGGTTTAACAAGCCGTTATCTTCCATGAGGGACATCGGTCGGCTCTGGAGAGACGAGACTATTTCATCCAGGACTTTGGTTCATAGCGTTTCCCCGGAGATTAAATGAGTTCATGTTGCAATCTGTTTTTTTTGTTTTTACAAAATGTCAACAGGGAGCGTTGATAAGAAGAGTCCTGGCACTGTCTCCTACAGCCTGATGGAAATAAAACCTGTCATGCATTTACAAACCGGCCCCTTTGCAAGGTCCACATGTCAGCCTGTTTAAATGGAGGTGGACTAATTACTACTCGCGAGCCTCTTGGTGGCAGCCGAAGGCTTCGGGGGGAAAGATTTCTCACTTCCTGTTAAATGAACATCAACAGAAGTCTTGGAATAAAGAGCTGTTGAAGCAGTTCTTCGTTTAAATTTGCGCCTCCACTGGCAGGTTGTTCTGTGTCAATTAGTTAGCTAAGCATCAGGCTCTCATCAAGACATCAAGACAAGGTGTTTGTTTGTCAATCTGCTTCTACAACAACGGCTGAAGCTCCTAAACTTGTGTTTTGTATCGACACGGAATGAGAAATGTGAATAAACCCGACCGAAGATCTGGATGTGATGAGAAGACGGCTGATGAGCTCCTGACGTTGTTCCGTCTCTCTGTGCATTTGCTTCTTCAACATGTTGTTTTTCAAGCATAAAGACTATTATTATTATTACATTACGTCAATTATGTCATTTAGCTGACGCTTTTTGTGCAAAGCGACTTACAATAAGTGCATTCAACCATAGGGATACAAACTCACAAGAACAATTATTATTCATTAAGTCAACATGAAAACACATTAACCCGTTAATAATCGCTGCTGTCTGTAGTTCAGGTATTAACACACCTCATACTGTGATGTGAGGAGATGCTTAAAGTCAGTCAGGCAAAGATTATTTAGTCTTGCACCCACAATAATTATTATTATTTATCGTTTTAATTTATTCTAAAACAAGAAACCCTGGTTTTACAGAATCTGTAACCAAAAAATTAAATTGTTTTCTTCTTTTTTCTCATCTCATGGTGGTTACCATGGCGACTGTGTTAGCTGATATTATGTTTCCATAGAAGCTTAATGTTGCAATGGAAATATATTCATGTTAACGATGAAAACACATTAACACGCTAATAATCGCTGCTGTCTGTAGTCCAGGTATTAACACACCTCACACTCTGACGTTGAGGAGATGCTTAAAGTCAGTCAGGCAAAGATTATTTAGTCCTCCACCCACAGCTCCAGAGACCAAAAAGTCAACTGCTACGAGCCCCCGTTTTATGTACCACACATATTGACTCCATGTGGTTCGTGCAACAGCGTGAAATCCAGATTCTAGAAGACCTCCCCAGTGGTTCCCAGATTTCCACCTGCTTGGAACTACAAGAAGGAGGATGGCAGCGGGGGGGACTCTATGAGTTCAGAAAGGATCTCATCACAGGTGCAACAGGGGGGGGGTCGTCACCGCTGACATGAGGAGTGAATCCATGCAGATATCAGCTACGGATTGCGGTGCATTGAGCATTGAAGCCGCTGTCAAGAGCGCACTGAAAGCACCTCACCTGGACTTTGGAGACCTCGGTGCTCGCTACAAAGGGGCCACGGGAGCCGGAACGTTGCAGCTTTTGTGTCTCGCAAAGATATCTCACAACCTTGTGGGAATTCGGATGTGTTTAGTGAGAGGTTTGTGTCCAGGTGGGACGCTGCAGGTCCGTGTGGACGAATGCTGCCTTCAGCGACCACCGCATGCGACATGACGGCCGACGGAAAGTCCATCCACCAAAAACCACATCAGTACTCAAGAGCAGGTGGAGCTTTGAACCACGCACGTTTGAAATCCACCCAGCAGGTGGTCTGCGCGTGCACCCTGCAGCCATGTTCTTCCCAGTGTCGTAACTAGCACATATCAACACAAATTGAATCATATAAATGGCTTTTTTCAACATTTAGCTATGCGGTAACCACCGTGTCGCTCGGCGTCCACGCGCTGATCCTCTGTAAACACAGCCGGCACCTCGTGTTCTGCTGTAAACAAGACTCTAAACACAAAAGCCCCCGCAGACTCAATCTGTTGTTAATCACTCCGCCATTGTGTGCTTTAAATGAGCTCCCACAGGAGCGTGTCGAGGGGCATGTTGACTATCGAGGGTATTCAAATCAGACCAGAACACACACACACACACACACACACACGTGTTTGTTGTCCTCTCTGCCCCTCTTGTCATTTCCTTCCATCCGGCGTCCGACCCCGTCGACAAAGACGAATGCCGCTGCTCATCGTCGCCGGATGAAAACACGCTCACCGTCGCCGTGACGACCCCCCCTCGCTCCTTCCTCCGTGCTCTTTTACTCTTTCGCTGTTGCACTCTGTTTTCACTTGTGTAGGAGTCACGGCCTCGACACACAGGAGTTGTGTGTGGGGAAGGAATGCAAAATGTAATTAAAATGTTGTTTTATGACTTCTGCCGCCGGGCGGCTTGCATCTTTC